CCCCCGCCCCATGCACCACCTTTCTAAGGATTGAAGACAGCAGCTGGCAGTGGGAGGTGGTTGCTTTAAATACGAGATGAGGACAAAAGGAAACTAGAACAGGGCGGCGGCTGTGGCTAAACTCACCGCCCCCTCCCAACCTGGGGGAGGGCTGGGGGACACAGCCGTGTGGCTGCTTCTGTCTCCCTTGCAGGACAGAGCTCTGCTGTGCGGCCTATACTTAGCGGCCAGGGTGGTGGGGGACACCGGTTTGGGCTGGGACATTACCCCCCCAGCACCCTCTGCCTTCAGGGTCAGTCGCTGGAGAAACAGGAAGTAGGTTCAGGGAGGGCCCTGTGCTCCCCTGCACCCTTCCAAGGCAATCTTAAATATTCCCCAGAAGATTCTCACAGCCCCACGGCTAGCTTCAGAGGCCCGGCAGCGCGCCCACCTCCTGGCTTTCCATGGGCCCTCAGGGTCTCCCTACCCTGTCCTCATGCTTCACCTGCTCACACTGGCAGCCAGGGCCCCCCACTCCTGTCCTCCATCCCTTGTGAGGCCCACCTTTCTGGGGTCTGCATGACCCCCTGGTGGGGGAACCAGGGTTTCACTCTCTGAGCTGCCAGGGCACCCTCTGCTCTCCAGGCAGGTTGTGGTGGGGACTCTGGCTGGGCCCAGGGGAGGGGACCGAGGGGTTAGCCACTGCCACCCATCTCTCAGACAGCAGTGGAGAAGGGGAGGGGTGCCGTGGGCCTGGGGTCGCTGACTCCTTTAAGGGCACACTGGAGCCGCTGGGGTGGGAAGGGGGCTCAGGAGATGCTGAGCCAGAGATGGATATGGTGTCCACGGGTGTGGGGACCTGGCCTGGAGCAGGACCAAGGTAAACAGAGACCCAAGGAGGCTGGCGGCGCGGGCAGAGAAGGGGCTGTGAGGCTGGGGTTCGGGGCCGACGCGGAGCCTCATGTCCTGCCCCCCTTAGCCCTCCCCTCCCTTAAACCGGGATCTGCTGACTCCTGAGCACCGCTCTGCCCCTGCCGCTCCCTCAAGCAGTGGCGCTTTCTTCCCTCTGCCCACCCTCACCCCGTCCTGGGAGATGCCCAGGCCTAGCTCAATGCCACCTCCTCCATGCAGCCTTCCCCAGCCTGCCAGTCAGCGACAGCTACTCCTTTCTCTGAACCCCAGGTTCCCTGAACCCCACCTGCTCTCCACAAGCAATGACTTCACTCTGTGCTGCTTTCTGCTCCAGTATCCATCCCCTCCCTACACTGTGAGCCTCTGGCCACAGCGCCAGTACTGGCCCATCAAGTAGCCCTGCAGTGGATTGACAACTGGTGGTCAGCTTATTACCCCCAGCTGAACTGAGTAGGCGTGGTGCTGGCTGTGGGAGGCCCACCTGGGGACGGTTACCAGCAGCGTAAGAGGCAAACCTGGAGAAGAAGAGTAAGGCCTTGGGAACTAAAAGGCTGTTGGGAGTGTAGAAAGGCTTTTGGAGCTGGTGGAAGCTGTAAGGAGCTGTTGGTTCTGCTGGAGGAGCTTGTCACGCTGGCTTTCCTGATAAACTTGGCTGTTTTCATCCTCCGAGGAGCTCAGGACCTCGTTGATACTGAGAATGGCTTCGGTTCACTTTGGGGGAGCTCTGGTCCTCACTCTGAGCATCGCTTCCTGGCTCTGGAGGGGAAGATAGTGCACTACCAGTCTCCTAGAGAAGCTTGCTGCATTGGCTTTCCTGATGGGGACTTGGCCATCTTGATGATCAGAGGAGCTCAGGACCTCACTGTTGCTGAGGATGGCTGTGGTACCTTTCTGGGGAGCTCTGGTTCTTCTGAGCGGCGCTTCCTGGCTCAAGTGCAGCTCCCTCAGGGATCTGCTGGCACAGATCCTTCATCCTGCTGGCACAGACTTCCTAGATTCCACCACTGACCTTTGGGCCTTCCCAGGGCAGATTCGTGAAACAGGCCTGCATGAGACACTGTCGTGGGCTCTGGGCCTCCAGGGGGACTCATGGGAGACATCGTTGTGAGCTCTGGACCTTCAGCTGGACTCATGCAGGACATTTCCGTGGGATCCAGGCCCTCAGCTAGTTTCCTTGGTCTTGGTGTGTGGACAGATTTCCTGCACTCTCTTTGTGTATCATTCTTTGGGTGACTATTATAAATAATCTTAAAAATACACGTCCTGTATTATATTGTTTCACCTTGCAAAATAAGCCCCAAGCCAACACAAGCCCCCATTGAAGGCCAGGTGACCATGCCAGGGTGGGTTTGGGGAACAGAGGGAAGGACAGCCACTGGGCCAGGCAAAGGAGCCCAGGGAAACACACCTGCCATGGACCCCGGCCTGACCTGGCTTACCAGTGGCTGTGCCCCTCTGCAAGCAGGAGGGGTCTGTGGGGGTGACAGCTGTGACTAAGGTGGGAGGGTGCTCGCTGCCAGAGGCCCTGCTGTGCTGCAGCCTTTGAGGGCCGGGCCCTGCCCAGGCCCCATCCTGTTGAGTTCCACCCGTCCTGGGGAGCTGCTGCCGGTGCCTCACACCCAGGGGTAGGCGAGGGGTGCCCAGTGGCCACAAAGCACAGGCTGGCAGGGTGCTAGTAGCTTCACACTGTCCCCATGCCTCCTGGCACCCTTGAGAGGCAGGTGCTTTCTGTCCCCATTCTACAGACAAGGCAGCCGAGGCAGCACGGCTCCAAGGAGCAGGGTGCCCGGAGCCAGGTCCCTGGACCTCGGGACCACACTCCTGGCCACCAGCCCGCCACCTGGCCACAGGTGTCACCCACCACACTTGCTGGCTCCCACTTGCCGCAGATTAGAGAACAGATGCCAGCAGGCGGTGCATCAGCCGCAGCTATTCTGGGCCTGGCGCCGCCTCTGTACCGCCCTTGCCACCCCCGCCCCAACTCCTTCCATTTCCATCTGCGAGGCCGCCCCTCCCCCGCAGCGCCGGGGGGGGGCGCAGTGTGGCGCAGACTCAGCCAGAGCAGGCCGGGCTCGGGGAGCTGCCCCCCACGACCTGGGCGCGGGCTCGCCCTCGCGCCGCCTGGCTGTGGTTGGGCTTGGGGTGGTGACGGTTGATTTTCATTGTTGAGGAGGTGCTTCCCCACTCCTGGACGTGCTCCTCAAGGGGCAGGCAGCTGGGCTGTGCCCTCGGGTTCTGGGTGTACCGTTTTGAGGTGCCCAGTGCGTCCTGGTCTGAGATCGGAGCTGGGGCCAAGCCAAAGGGCCTTCCTGTCCCAAAATATGCCTGCCCCACGCCCTTCTAGCCTCTGTGCTACCCTGCTGTCCCAGGACCTCAGCTGCTCCTCCCTGGCAAAATCCCGAGCTCCCGACACACGCAGGCTCCCAGCCTCCACCAGCCGGGGGATCCCGCTGAGGCTGCCCCGGGGCCTCCTCCCAGAAGGCCTGTCTTCCCTTTCGTGGACTCGCTTTGCACAGCCGGTGGAAATGGCTGGGCCCAGCCCCTCCTCCTCCGCAGCAGACCGCACTCAGGAGGGTGGGCCGTGGTCTCCTTTCCGTGCCCGGCTCTCGGGCCCTGGCGTCCACAGCAGCTCCACAAACGCGTGCTGAGCCCAGTTAATCGGGTGCGAAAACTGCTCTCCAGGGCTTTGGTGGCCCCGTCCCAGGGGGAGCGGTGTGTGAACTTCCAGCAGCTTCACGGCCCCTTAGCCAGAGACATCTTCCCCCGTCTCACGAGGCTGGAGATCGAGGTCAGTTTTTGGTAATTTTAATTGTAAAAACCAAGACATTTATATAAATAAGACCGCTGTGTAAAATAGGATTCACCCTTCTACGAAAACCCTTCTCCCCACACTCAAAAAGAATCTAGAAAACCCGGCAGAGATACGAAGTACAAATCAGCATGCGGTCCCTGATGATACGTCACTGGCAGGCCAGGTTCCCTGCTGAAGCGGCCCGCGGCGAGAGCCCACCTGGCCGGTGTCTCACCGGAGCTCAGTGACGTCTCGAGCACGCGCGGGGGCAGTGCCTGCGTCCCAGCGCCTGGCTCTCAACTGCGCATGCGCGCTTGGCCTCCGGCCGTCGAGGCTCCTCCTGGTTCACGCGCCAGGGTGGGCGGGAAGGGAGGAGAGGGCGGGGAAGGCTGCTCGGTCCTCATGCCAAACCCGGGCTGTGGCGCGACGGGTCCCGCGAGACGCGGTGTTTGCTTGCTCAGCCCAGGATCAAGCTGGGGAGAGGGCTTTGGGGGTGGTCACTGTGTCCCAGAGGACAAGGAGAAGCTGCCTGTGTCCCTTGAGAGGAGAGGCTCCTTCTTGGGCCCACTTCCGTATGGCCACTAGCATAGGACAGTGGTACCTTCTCAGCAGTACTGGGGACAGAAGGGCAGTGGGGCTCCCGGGATGCTAAAGGACAACAGCCCCGGAGAAAGGCGGGCCTGGCATGTCCTGGGGAAAATCCTTGCTCCCCACCTCCTTTACCCTGTCACATGTCCCCGCCCCACCCCTACAGAGAGCTGCCTCTGCCCTGTCCACCACTTGGGATTCAGAGGGAGAGGGCTGGGAGCCTGGGGGTAGAGATGTCAACAGATTCACACACTGGGCATGGCTCAGGAAACGGGCACACAAGGACAAAAGAAAAGACCCCAAACTCTCCGTGGAAAGGCCGGGACCTGCCTGGGGCTGCTCCCCATCCCGGAGGAGAGGCAGGAGCAGGCCTGCGGGGACGGAGTGTCAGGAGCACTTCCAGACGCACACGGCCAGGGTCCCGCCGAAGTACAGGTACAGCAGGTTCTTCACCTCGTGCGTGATCTCAAAGCCAAAGCCTTCGCCGATCACCACGTGCCACGAGGAGCCGAACTTCTTGTCCATCGTCTCCTTGATCATCTTGGCGGCGCTCTGCAAGGGAGAGGCCCCTGGTCAGAGGGCAGTGAGGGCCACGAGTCCCTCCCGCCCTGGGAAGGAGAAGCGCAGCAGAGCTCTTGGCGAGACTGGCCTGCAGCCCTGTTTCTGTTGCTCCGCTCAGACGGTTTCCACGTGGGCCCCCCCTGCCCGGCTGCTGCTCAGGGACAGGAAGTGAGACGTTACCTCCCCAGGCTGGCTGTCCGCAGGCCACAGGGAGTGGTGGGCGTGAGAGGTGAGAGCATGCTGGAAAGTGGGGTTGCCGTCATCCCGGCAAGGCGCCAGGTGAGAAGCTTTTGCCCCATGGGTTTAATGGGCTCCAGGGACAGTGGATTGCTTGTCCCAGGTGTGGCGACAGCCCACTGCCTCCCATGCTGTCTTCCTCCAAAACTCCCCCCGTGTGAAAAGGAGGCCTGGGGAGGGCAGAGGCTTAGGTACCCAATGTGCACCCACCACTGTACCCACGCCAAGCACTTTGTCCCCTTTGTCTCAGTAAATAAATCCTGGAGACTGGCCCAGCAAGGAGGGGTTGTCGTCATCCCCAGGGCAGAGAGGAGGACCCCGGGCTTGAGATGAGAAATAGCCAAGCAGGAGGTTGGAGTGGGGTCTGACCTTGGGCCTGGCTGGCCCTAAGCTTGGGCTCTCATTGGCCAGGTCACTGCTCTGTTTCTCACTGCCCCCAGACTGATGGATGACACTGGAAGTCCAGGCCTACAGCCCTGTCTCCAACCTGTAAGAAGCGCCTGGCATGGAGCTTTCTGGATGGATGGATGGGTGGATGGATGTGCACGTGAATGGCTGGGTGGATGGGGCCTGGGAAGGAGCCCTTGTGGGTGGCCTACCTGTCGGGGCTGGGGACAGGGTGGTACAGAGACCTGCCGGCCTCCCTCCCTTTTGTCACCATCAGCCTCCTCTCTCCCTGCCTCCCCAATCTGTGATGCTTCCAGCACGGCTCTGGCCTGCTAGGGCCAGCAGGGCACTGGCTACAGGGGTTTGGGGCCTCTCTGTTCACCCCCAGGGTCCCCAGGCTGAGGGCCACCTGCCCTGATGAGTACCTCGTTGTTGTTGGAGAATTTCTCACAGGCTGTGACACACAGCTCCATGGTTTCCACTCGCATCTCCTCTGGCATGTCTGAGTGCTAGAGACAAGGCGGGGCGACAAACAGAGAGAGGCTTAGCCCGAGACCTGGCCTTCCTGGCTGGCCTCGCTGTCCCACGCTCAAGGCATGGACACCAGGTAGCTCCCCTGGCACAGCCCCAGCAGGTGACTCATCTAACTGAGCATGAGGGCCCATGGGATGGAGCTGAGCCACGTGGGCTGGCACCCGGGGCCGCGTTCTGGGCAGTGGACAGCAGGAAGGTAGCCGGATGAAGGGCACACAGCTGTGGGAGTGGCCGGGAGACACCGGCCACTCTCGAGGGCTCCTGGTTTCCTCTTGTCTGGCCAGCAGCTCCTTTTCAATCCCCGGATTCTCCTCCTCCCCGGGCTCATCTCCACCCTCTTCCTTCTCCAGCCGCGTCCCCTGGGGGTTCTGTCCCTTTCCACACACCTAGTCTTCTCCACGGGCCAGACGGGTTCCTACACTTTCATCCCCAGCTCTGAACTTTTCCTTGGGCTCTGGACTCCCACGTCCGACTTCCCACCTGACAACCTCGCTTGGTGTCTAAAAACAACTTGCTCCCCCAAACGTACTCTTCCTACGTCTTCCCTTTCTTGGTAACCGACACCCTTTCTGTTTCCCATTGTTTAGGAAAGAACAAACTCAAAGCCCGTCCTCGGCGAGCCACTGCCTCTGCCTTGGAGGATGGTCCTGACATCACCTTGCGCTCCAGCTGCTGCCTGGCCACTGTCTCCCTGGGACTCTGCAGAAGTGTCCCCTTTGTGTCCCCACTGCCACTCTGGTACCCAAGTCCGTTCACTTCCTAACAGCTGGACTGACCTTTTATTCCTCTGTCTACAGCCTTCCGCTGCTGCCCTCCGGCCTCAGGACAGAGCCCGCAGTCCTCACCGGAGTCCGCGCCATAGCCACCAGCCAGGCCTGCTGTCGCTCTGGCGCTCACACCCTGCCGCAGCCACACTGGCCTCTCTGCCCCTGCGCAGTGCCGAGCTCACCCTGCCTCGCTTTCCGTGCCTGCTGTTCCCCAAGAATGCCCTTCCCAGCCTTTGCAGGCTTCAGGTCTCCGAGTGGCCTCTCTGGGATCCAGTGCTGCCCTCACGCCCCGCACACCTGCTCTAGTCTTCTTTATAGCACTTGTTGCCTGCAGCTGTGTCCTTTAAACACCCATTCATGTGGGCCAGGCCGTCGTCTGCCTTTTGCCACTCCCTCCACAGGGTCTAGGACTGTGCTCCGCACAGAGCAGGTGGCCAAAGTCCCCACGTGACGGATGAATGAATGGATGAGGCAATGAATCACTGTCGCCTCCTTGATGTTCAGATCTGAGTCAGCAGAGCCCCTCCCTTCCCCACCGCGGTCCTGCAGGTGTGTGGGTGCTGCCGGCCGCCTGGCCCCCTCCCCCGGCTCACCCTGACCAGCGGGAAGGTCTGCAGGCGCTTGTAGTCAGCCTCGTCTTTCTTCCCTTCTGTCTCTCCCATGATCCTTCCACTGTGACCACCGGAGGCGGGGGTCTCTCAGGAGGTGCTGGGACTGGCAGCTGAGACGCCTTGGAGAGTCAGGAAGAGGGCCCTGCCAACTCGGGGGGGGGGGGAGCAGAAAATGTCTTTCCCCAGGGGGTGCTGCAGAAAACAGGAAAACCGGGAGAGAAGAGTTGGCTCCAAAACCACACATCACAAATTAGAAATGTCTCAGTAACAATTTGACACCTCCCCGCCTTAACTCCTCCACATCCCTTCCCAAATGGCCAGCGAGCCTGCAGAAGGAGTGAGTCAACGCGCGATGCTATAAGAACACGCTGTCATTGTCAAGACAGATACTGACTGCGAGCCAGGCCCGGGGTGCAGCCGTGAGCTAGCAATGAGCAAGTGCCCACGACGGGCCGGCCTTCCTCCCCGAGTCGTGATTTGGAAGTTACACGCTCAGCTCACCAGGGACGATCTGAGCCAGGTGAGAGGCCACCTCGCAGGACCCGATGTGCAGGGCAATGGGCAGGGTGCTGCTCAGGGCCTTCCTTGGCACCCAGGCTTCCTGGCTGCCCCCTCTCAGGCCACCAGGCCTGGCTGGTTGGCCCGGGACTTGGGTGGGCTGCGTGCTGGTACTGACGCCCTTTCTGTGGTTCCCAAGGAATCAAATGAGAGACTGTGTGGCTCTGACAGGAAAGTGACAATACCGTAACACAAAACTACAAAAGAGCTGGGCATGGTGGCACAGGCCTGTAATCCCAGCGCTCAGGAGGCTGAAGCAGGAGGACTGAAAGTTCAAACCAGCCTAGACTACATAGAGTGACTCCAAAAAAAAAAAAAAAAAAAAAAAAACAAAAAAAAAAAAAAAAAAAAAAATCCTAAGAAAAAGCTAACTTAATATGTACATGAGCCTCACCCCATCAGATCTAGTTATCTAATAACAGGCAGGGCTTTTCCTGAAGAGAGAGGCCTGGATCCTAAGTGAGTAGAGCACTACTAGAAGTCTCTTTTTCTCTTTTTTTTGCCCTTTTTTGGAGGGGATCAGACTCAAAGATCCTCTTACCACTGAGCTACATCTCCAGTCCTTTCTGTTTTTTATTTTGAGATGGAGTCTTGTTAAGTTGCCCAGGTAGGAGTCCAAATTGGGATCCTCCTGTCTCAACCTCTCAGTGTTGTGATGACATCTGTGCTGGGCCTGGACGTCTCTGTCATCCTACAATTCAATATATAATTCAAAGGGCTTTTTATCCCAGAAAAGGTGCATGCATACAAATCACTGTTGGTAATTTTCTTTTAAACAATCTACATTGAACAAATACAGTTAGATAATGTTATTGTAATGTTATCCTGAACTGCAAGATGCCAAGCAGTAAGAACAGGTATATACCCGCCACACACATATATGTAATATATATACATGTTATATACAAATTTTTTAAGAGATGGGTTCTTACTATGTTGCCCAGACTGACCCCAGGCTCCTGGGTTCAAAAGATCCTCCTGCCGCATCCTCTTAAGTAGCTGGGACTACAGGTAGGTAATGACAGGTGACATGTATCAGGTTTGATGTGTGCCAGCCACACATCAAATGTGTGATGTGTGCTCCAGCACTTGACCTGCATTTATGGAGCTCATCACTGCAATGACCCTAGAAGTCACGGCCCATGTGAATGGAGGCAGGGGACTGATGTCGCTGGCCCAAGGGCACTCAGTAGGGAGTGGCAGGGCTGGCATGGCTCCTACGCTTCTTGCTTCAAAGACACGGCGCACATGCCACACGTGCTTGGAGCTGACTACTACTGTGCCCTTGATGATCCCGACCATGACAGGAAAGTCTGATCGTCCCTTTTCTCAGGGTCTGCTTTCTGCTGTGACCACGGCTCTGGTTTGGCCAAGGTTGGGCCCTATGCACCCCTCTGGCTCTTAACTGTTTCCCTCTCCGATGCTTCTGAAGCCACCCGTGTCACCCCATTCAGTCAGCCCCCTGGCACGAGGCTGGCACAGACTACGCTGCTCATTGGTATTTTTTGATTTCCCAGGGGACAGATGGTTTCTCTTATCTCATAATTCTGGGCATTTGTACCACTCAGACATTAGCAATTTTTGTTTGTCTCTACATATGAGCTGGCAGATTACCAAGCACAATCTCATTGTACTTTCCGGTCAGGTTCTCATTTCACAAAACAGAAAACTGTGTCTGCTCATGGATGCTAAGGCAAGTCTTCATCTCCTGGCTTTAGTATTGGCCTCTTTACTGCCTTCTCCTCCACCTCCCAGGCGTGCGAGAAGCTGGTGGCTACGCTGATGATAAAGGAATACTAGGGCCTTCCACTTTGTTTACCTCTGAGAATTTCAAGTGGGAACAACTGAAGATGTAAAAGCGGCTGCTTAGGCAACTTCCACCTAAATATTTCAGCTTGATTCAGTTCACTCTCAGGGCTGGAATGCGCTGCCAGGCGGGAGGCAGGGAGAAGTCGACTGTGCCACGCTGTCCTCAAGGTGCCAGCGGCGTGGCAGCGGCCTGCCTGCTAGAGAATTCTGCTGGACAATCAGGAGAGTTCAGGGGGGCTCCCAAAGCCCATTCTTCTTGGAGCAAAGCAGGGGACACCCCCCACCCCCCAGCAGTTACGGGGCAGTAGAGAACAGCATAGGACCAGGACTGGAATATTTGGGTCTGACTGTCAGTTCTGAAAACGTGAGTTCTGCCCATTTGCTTGCACTGTAGCCTGGGGCAGGTCATTTAGGCCAGGCCTTGCTACACCCCAGAAGGTGTAGACAGAAGGCTGCACCCTACCCTCCCTCGCCCCAGTGTCTGCTCATGAGCGTTCTGAAATGTTAAAGCTTTCTTCCTGAGCACCGCTGCCTGCTCGCTCTTCTGCCAACATACTGACAAGGACTCTGTCAACATTACTCAACACCTGCTTATTAAAGACCATGACGTACTTATGAATAGCTTTTCCTAACCACTACATGTGCTTCCCAGGTGCTCGCTTCAGCAGCACATAGAATAAAGTGCTTCCGGGGATCCAAAAGACATGAGACTTACCGAATAAAAAGGAACAGTTGTAGAGATGCTTCCGATTACAGAAAGGTAGGGCAATGTTTTATGCTGCTGCATTATTACAGTACAGTACAGTCATTCGGCCATGATTAAAAATCCTGCTGAGAGGATGCTACTGAAAATAGCAGAGCTAGGAGCTTTAATAACCTTATCAATCTCCCATGTGAATGAGCATGTGCCTGAAAGAAGCTGTGTCAGCCTGGAAAGAGCCTTCTAATAATACAAGTATGCCCAGCCAGGGTACTTGAATCTGCCAGGTACTGGAGCTTGAGCGCATGGCATCCAGCCCTTGGTGGCCCCTACCCTGGGGCAGCCCCACTGTCTCCTGTCCAAGCCTCCCTTTATTCTCCCACTCTCCATGGCCCTCAGTGTGCTTCAGGGGCCTCCAGGCGCATGGACCAGGTTCCATCTCATCGTTCTGTCAAAGCCAGCGTCCCTGTCTTGCCACACCTGTTCTTCTACCGTGCTGACTTCAGTTACCACTTGCTGTTTTGCTCTGGAAGCAGTTGAGAACCCTTCAGAGGGCTGGGGCTGTGGGAGGGATGGGAAACCAACCCAAAAGGATGTGCCTGCCCTGAGACTCAAAGCCTGGACCATTCCTAGTTCTTAGGTCATGGTTCACTGTCCTGAGAAGCCCACTGGGCATCTGAGAGGTGGCAGGACACACCGGAGCATGTCATCGGGGGTCTGAGTGCAGGCTCCAGGCACATCCGCAAACACAGCTCGGTTCCGTTTCAGACACACGCCGGCCTCTCTCAGCCTCACTTCTCACTGGGAAATTGGAAAGGGGCACAGGCTCTACCCGATGGCATCAGGGCAGCAGGAAGGGGATTTCTATATCCTCTTCACAGACCAGCCCAATAAACCAACCTTTCTGGAGTCCCACTGCTGGGAACCCCTGTGTTAATGTGGGAGGAGAGTCATGAGGAACCTCAGCAAAGCCCCGCCCAGTCCAGGCAACCTGGCAGTGGTGACGTCGTGTTTACACATTCAGGGTCTTATGTCAACCTTGGCGGGAAGGCTCGGCTCCCAGCTCTCAGACAAGGTACCTGAGCTCAGAGAGTTAAGGGGGCTGGCTCAAGAGTGCACAGCAAGCAGTGGCAGAGCCAGGACCTGAGCTCAGATCTGTTCTTCTAACTTTGCCTCCTGTGCTTTCTCTCTTGGAAGAAGGGAGAAACCCAAATCGCTTCCATCAGCACCGACCTGTCAGCCACCATCTAGGCCCTCTTCGGTCCACCAGGGAAGCGTGTCAGGGACACACACCTGTACACCTTGGTCATCGCTGCTTTTCCTGACAAGTCTACCCTGTGCCTTCTACCAAACAGCTGGAAGGGTGGGGGGAAAAGGAGCCCAAGGACTCTGGGACATTCATCAGCGAAGGCAAGCGATGATGTAGAGGACCAGGTTCTCAGAAGCCGGGTTTCCCAGACCAGGATGGAGTCGGGGAGCAAACAAAGGGTGGCCATGCGCCAGTCTCACTAAATACGAGCATTAGGGATGGGTCATCTACTATGAAAAAGGAAAGTGTAAAAGTAACAAGGAGAGAACTGCTGAATGAAGGCAGCCATTCTCAAGAAAAAGCAGCTACCGCTCCCATGCACACACACAAAGGTGGCTCTGTTCTGTTTTGCTTTTTGAACATAGTTCTATTGTCTGTCACTTCACTGAGGTCCAGCAAAAACCTGGCATCCCTCAGAACACAGGGAGGAAGCACAAAGGCAGGAGTGGAAGGAAGGGGAGAAGGAAGGGGTGAAGGAAGAGAATCTGTCGACTTGCCTAGATTGGCAATTTCAACATTTTCTTTGTTCAGCACCACATGACAAACGCTGACTCACGTGGTAGCCCTCACAAACACATCAAGTTTGGATGAAATGCCAAACAATCTTGTCGAGACACAAGCCTAACAGAAAGTCACAGCTATGGCAGCCGGCGGCTCTGCAGGAGCGGCTGCTTACACAGGGAGTGGGTCCCACGGCCCCCACCTGCTACTTTCCCACTCAACAGAGCACATTTGGATGGAAGGGACCAAGGATGACGTTAGCACAGATACTGACTGGACTTAGCACGAATTTATTTCTTAAAGACTCATTCATGATTGCTAACTGCTGGTGATATCTCACAACCGATCAGGACGTCACCGTGAGTTGTGAGTCAAGACAATTCTCTGGGACTGAGGGACTTCATTTCATCTCCTCTACATGGCCCAGGGCACAGGGTTGAGGGTTGGCATATGGCAGGAGGCCAAAAATAAAAAATCAAAACTGTAATTAAATTATATTTTACTTGTCCCCTGGCAAGGGAGAGGACCCAGTAAAGCTATCCAATAATAGTGAGCTCATCTTGAGCCAGGCACCAGGTGGGGTGTTTTGTACACAGGGTCTGGTTTACTGCCCCCAGTGACTGTCAGACAGGCCCTATTGTCGTTATTTTACTGATGCGCACACAGGCTGAGAAAAGGAAAGTGACTTTTCACTCTCCAGGTAAACAGCTCTGATAAAGAGCCAGGCAGGATTCAATCCCAGGTATCTATGACTTCAAAGGGGATGCCTTCCAGCTACTCCATGCTGAGGGACAGTCCCTGACCTAAGCTTACAGGTGAAATGGAAATCAACACACGGACACAGGGGCTGTGCTAGCTGTCATAAAATGGGAAGTGTCAGGTGCAGAGAGAGGGGGAAGAGAATTCTGCGAGGGAAGGGTGAAGAGGACATCCAGAGAAGCTTGGTGGCAGGGGGCAGCACGGACTTAGGCCTTGAAAGAGTGGCAATCCGGACAGGTGGGCAGGCAGGAGAGGTGACATTCCAGACAGGAACAAGCACAGTGTTCCCGAGGCAGAAAGCTCAAGGCAACTTCTGGGAATATCTAGCAATCCAATTTGGCTGGAGGATAGAATTTGGTCAAGAAAGGACAAAGAAAGCTGGGTAAAAGCCTGGGTCTGGGTTGTAGAAATGCAGAAAGACCCAAAAACCCAGGCTTAAGAAGTATGGATTTTTTTTTTTTTGAGAGGAATAAGAAGCCTTTGGAACTTTCTTGGGGGTTGGTGGCGCAGTTGTATTCGCTGGTGGACTGGGTTGAGAGAAGAGACAAGATAGGAACAGCAGTTAGGGAGCTAGCGTAATGGCCCAGGTGACAGGCATTGTATACCTGAACCAAGGTGGTGCCCTTAGGAAGGAGAGGATGTGGGATCCTCATGAAGGCAGAAGCAAAACCACCTGAACATTCCCAAGTGGAACGGGCACAACAGAGTGACGGACGATGCCCTGGGGATGGTGATGCCGTGACAGAGGCAGGGGAACTCAGGTAGAATACATGGGTGGGTAGAGAAGCAGGCCAGTCTGACTTTAGAACTACTGAGTCTAAGTTGCTGGTAAGATGTACAAATGCAGGTATTTAGTCAGAAGTAGGAAATTACTGATCATGGATAACAGAGGCAGGAGGGAAGCCATTAAACTAATGACCACATCACTCTTATGAGTCACTTCTGGCCTCCTAACCCCCTTCCTGAGTGTCCCTAACCACAAAATACAGACGAAAGATCAAAGCTGGAGATATGGATCTTAGGATCGAGGGGATAAAGCTGACGATAAAGGGGGCTGGCTAATACTTCCCAGAGGGGATATTGTGGGGAAGAGAGACAAAGAAAGGAAAGTAACAAATATCGATTCCACACTTATGAAGGCCTGCAAGTGGAAATCCAAATTGGATTTGCCAAGTTCTTTGCATTGCACACTGGTTCCTCCCACGGAGAGCACATCCTCCGGGAAGTCTACACTTGGGTCAAAGAATAACATCTTAGAAGGTCAGAGTCAAAGAGGCCTGAGACTTCATTCAATCCAACTTTTCCCTTACAGATGGGGACACTGAGGCCCCAAAAGGCAAATGACCAGTGCGGTGTCTCAGTAGTCGCCAGCTCCGCAAGCCAAGTGGTCTGGGAGGAGGCGATGGCGACCACCAGTCAAGTCACGGGAGGGGGGCTTACTATGCGAAGGCGGGAGTGTGGGGTGCTGGGGGGCGTCGGATCAGGGAAGATGTGGGAGCACAAAACTGGACAGAGCCTCGCGGGGGAGAGCAGAAACAGTCGGAAGAGTAGCAACGGAATTCTATAATCTCGCAGGTCCCCAAGTAGGGTTGGCGGGGGGAGGTCCTGGGACGGGAACAGCGGACTGGAGACTGAGGTGGGGCCTCAGCGGTGGGCGAGGCCTCGTCCTCCCCGCGTTGCCTTCCGCCCTCCCTCCAGACCAGCCCTCCCCGCCTGGCTGCCCGCCGCGCCCCGGGGCCTCACCTGCTCCCGCGGGGGCCGGAGCCGAGGCCACAGCCAGAGCACCCCCGCCAGGGTTGTCAAGGAGCAAACAAGAGTGTCTTAGCAACCAGCAAGGAAGTCCTGCCCCTTACCGGACGTTGACCAGAACTATACTTATTATTGGTGAATACAGGTGTCAATCAGTGTCCAAAGGACCTACGACGTAGGAGTTTGCACAGGAGGGGGCGAGGCTTAGAGGCTAGGGAGGCGGAGCTTCACCTTTAGTCGTCTTAAGTGTGCCGGAAGAGACGAGGGTAGAGTGAAGTTCTTTAAGAGGAAAAAACTTCGAAAAGTAGTATTGCCTTAGAGTTTTTCGTCATTTGAAATAACAAATGCAATTTGTTAGTTTCGTGACATCGAGCTTCTACTTTGTTAGGACCTCAAAAACCTAATAACTAGCACTTATGTAGGGCTTTACAATTCAATTAATTTCTCACTTGACTCTCACCACAGATTACTAGTATCCGCAATCCCATCCGAACTAAAGCGCAGGGAGGTTAACCAAATAAAGGCAAAATCAAGACAATGTCCCTGGAGAAGGAAGCCAGTGCTCTCTCCATTGTGCCACATCCCCCAAGGTCACCTCGTCGCTAGGAGACAGCTGTGCCATCCAATTTAAAGACATTGTTGTCCAGAGGGTGTCTTTGATTCCTCTTGGGAGGACAATTACCTAAAAGTATTAGCGCAGCTGGAGAGAAAGGCAAGGGGAGAACTAGCAAATTCCATTGGTTGGATCAAAGGGTCAGTGGGATACGCCATAGTGAAGGCCTACTGCTCATTTGCAGGGAGCTCAGCTCTGGCTGGGTGCCTGTGATCGCAGGAGGAAGTAAGGGAGTGGTCCGAAGGGCTGTGAATGACTTGGTGTTTCCCCGTGTGAGGCGAGAATGAGGGAGAGTAGCTGCCGGGCGGGTTTCTGGAAGGACAGTAACAGGGTCAGATTTAGCATATGGAAAGATCACTCTCTTAGTGGCAACAGCGGACAGGATTTAGGGTAGGCAGGAGGCAGGCGCCGTGGGTTTTCGTTTAGAGGCTTGGCAGCATGAAGGGTGTTAGGCCCTTCCTGATTCTCAGCTTGCCTCTCTGGCACGTTCTGAGGGCCTCCAGATTTCCTTAATCTCCTTTGCCAACTTTCTCCTGGAGATGAAGGTGGCCTTTGAGGGGGATGAAGCTCTCACTTCCGCCTCTCACCCAGGCTTCTCCCAGCAGGGGTCCACATTTGCTGTCTTCTTTTGCTCACCTCCCTTTCAGTTCGCAGCCCACTGCAATCTGGCTTCCACTCCCACAAAGTCCCCAAAATTCTCTCTTTCGTGGTTACTAGTGACCTCTTGAGGAGCAAAATTCGATAGAACCTTTTGGTCCTTGTTATGGTTTGTGTCTGGGTGTCCCCCCAAAGCCTCATGCGGTCATGGGGCCGGCTTTTAGAGTTTGATTATGGGTGTGAGTGCTACACCTGCCCTGGGGTGGATAGTTTGCTTATGTAAGGGAGAGGAAGAGGCTGCTCGCAGGGATTCCTCCCTTTTAGTGCTTGTTGCTTTTGCTGTGTTCTGCTGCCATGAGCTGTAGCCCTCTGCCATGTGCCACTCTGCCTTGTAACTTGCCAAGTATGGACTGAAAACTCCACAAACTGTAAGCGAAATAAACCTTTCCTTCCTTAATTTTGGGCGTCAGGTATTTTGTCCCAGCAATGAGAGAAAAGTAACCAAGACAGTCCTTTTTACTGCATGCACGTTAGGCAAACACTGCACCACTGAGCAATCCCCCAGCCCGATCACTTCAGTCTTTATCTTAAGGGATCCGCCCTCTCTCCTTGCTGAGCCTGCTGACCACACCCATCTGGCGGAAAGTTCTCTGTCCCGGAGGCAGCACCTGGAGAGCAGTTTAGAAGGCAGATTCCAGGGCCCCACCACATCAGAATGGTGAGGGAGAGGAAAGTGATTTTTCACAGTCAGCCTGTGGACACTTAATCCTAATATCAGGGCACCTCATTCTCTGCATTTTCTCTGTACATTTTGGTCTCCTGAGTCTCTCCTTTCTTTGCTCTGTGTGTCTAACTTGGCCTTCTCTTCTAACTATGATTGTGAATTTCTTGCTACCTTAAGTCACATCCTTGTGTCAATAGCAATGTTTTCCTTGATCACATTCCCTGGGGTGCTTACTAGACTCGTGGGAGGAGTGTGTGCTCAGGAAAAGCCCCCCTGGTGTTTCTGAGTATTCCCAGGGAGTAATGCCACCCTGTGTCTTGTTGAGAATTGCTGCCTTGAGGACTGTCTTTGGGGATCTCATCCCCTCCTGTGGTTTCCACTGTCAACGTCTTTCTAAATTCTGTGTTTTTCTCCCCAGATCCAAATATCCAAATTCCTCCTGGCCATCACCGCCAGGATGTCCTGCAAAGCCTTCAAACTCAGTGTGTTCCAGACTGAATCGACCTCCAGTCCATCGAAAACCTGCCAGTTCCAACTCTAACGAGCTCCCCATACAGCTCCTCCCGGCCGCTCCCCTATGCAGGATTCAGCACTATCCTTTTGTATCACCCCAACTCCCCAGTGGGGCTCCGTGCAGGCCTGCTGTTCTCTAACCCACCCTCCAGACCATAGTCAGTGTGGTCCTTCTAAAGCCCAGATCTCCCCACCGCATTCCCTTCCCTCCACAGTACCCTGTCACCTACCTGGTGACTTCTACATGCCATGATGTGGCATTCAAAGTTCCCTGTGTGGCTGTGGGCTCCTTGATGTTCCATCCCCGCTACACCAACTTTCCCTGCTCCCGGCCACCGTAGGCTGTTTCCCTCCTCCCTGCCTCTGCTCGCCTGTCCTTCCCGCTCATGTTCTTGCCACTGTTTCTTCCCTCCTCTCGGTTATCTGAGTCCATGAGCTTTTAGCCTAAGCATGCACACACTGGGGTCCTATCACGCGGCACTGAGAGTGCTGTGTTGCCTTCACCGCCTAGCTCCTGTTTCCTGTGGTTTCATTCTGTCTCCTCCTGCAAGTTCCTTCAGGGCAAGGACCTTGTCCTACTTGTCTTTGCATCCCCCTCTCCCCAGGACCCGACAGACAGCAGATGCTCACAGGTCCCTTTATGCTTGGTACAGATGTCCCAGTGGTAAGCTTGCATCCTTTCTCACAGCAGAGCTGGCTTCAAGTTACGTAGGACAATATCTCTGTCACATGTCCCTAGGGCTTCTTGGGGCTCCCCCCAAGTCCCTCCAGTACTCTGCTGCATGGCTCCCAGAATGTTCTCCCGCCTTTTTTCTTCTGTTATCTTCACAGAAATTTAACCATTCTGAGTTCAACTTTATTGGTTCTCTCTGTATAGTGTTTTGTCTTCTATTTTATTTCTTTCTGCTTGATTTACTCTTCCTTTTCTAACTCCTTGAGATGGAGATTTAATTGATTGTCACCCTTCCCTCTTTCTTAACATTTAGTAAGGCTAAAACCTTCAATTTCAGCAGACCTTAAACTGCATCTCACACATTTTGGTATTCTGTGTTTTCATTATCTTTTAGTTGTTTTGTAATCAAATATTTCTGGCTTGATCCATGAATTATTTAGAAGTGTATTGCTTATTTGTAAACATTCAGGTATTATCCAGTTTCTTTCTTTCTTTTTTTTACTACTCATTTCTAGATTCATATTCAGGATGTTTCCGTTCTCTAGAATGTGTTGGAACTCGCTTTTTAACCCAAGCATATGGTTAGTGTATCAGTTTCCTATTGGCATCAGAACAAATTGTGACCAACTTAGTGACTTACAGCAATATAAATTCACCACTGGATAGTTTTAGAGGTCAGAACTCTGAAATGGGTCTCACTGGGCTAAAATCAGGGCTGTCCCCAGGGCTGTATTCCTTCCTGAGGCTCCTGGGGAGACTACTTCCTTTCCTTTCCCAGCCTCTAAAAGTTTCCAGAATTCCTTGGCTCATGGACCCTGCCATCTTTAAAGCCAGCAGTGTATGGTTGACTTTCATGGTTTCTCTGACACTGTTTTCCTCTTTCAGACCTAAGCACCCCAAGATTACATGGGGATAATCCCAGATCATCTCATGATCATCTGATTAGCAACCTCAATTTATCTTCAGCCTTACTTTCCTTTGCCGTGTGGCATATTTCTGGGTACCAAGGAGTAGAATGTAGACAAAAGTATAGGAGGATGGCATTACTTTGATCCACCATAGTCAGTACATTTTTATGTGCATTGAAAAGAATATCTATTCTATAGTTACTCTGCTAGGTCAAACTTGTTAATCATTTCATTCACATTTTCTCTACCCACACTTAGATGTTTGTCAGTTTCATAGGTTCTTAAGAAAGGAGTGTTAAAAACATCTCACTATGGCCCAGCGTGGTGGTGCATGCCTGCAATTCCAGCACTTGGAGGCTGAGGCAGGAGGATCACCATGAGTTTAAGGCCAGCCTGGGCTACATAGTGAGTTCAAGACCATCCTGAACTACATAGTGAGACCTTATCTCAAAAAAACAAACAAACAAAATCACATGATTTTTTTTTATTTAAGAATTTTTCCTTTTGGCTCTGTCAATTTTTACTTTATATGTCATGAAGTTATGTAGACACAAATTTATAATTATTATATCTTCTGAAGAGATTGACTCTTCATCATCATGAAATGGCCCTTTTGACCAAGAGGTAGAAGAATGGCTCAGAGAAGAGGGGGAGGGGAAGGAGGCAAAAAAATATTGAGATGTTGTTATGGTTTGTGTCTGGACGTCCCCGCAAAGCCTCATGCAGTCATGGGGCAGCCTTCTAGAGTTTATGATTGATTCATGGTCCAATGTTGGGATTATGGGTGCTAATGCTACACCTGTCCTGGAGCAGCTAGTTTGCATACAGTGTAAGGGAAGGAACAAGGCTGCTTGCTGCCACTCCTCCCTTTTCCTCTTGCTGCTTTTACTGTCTTCCGCAGCCATGCACTGCTGCCCTCTGCCATGTGCTGCTTTGCCTTGGAGCCAGCAGATTATAGACTGAAACTGTGAGCTAAATAAACCTTTCCCTCTTTAATTCTTGGCTTCAGGTATTTTGTCTCAGCAACAAGAGAAAAGTAACCAAGACCGATGTGTT